TCTTTCTTTCTTTCTTTCTTTCGATATATAAAATTTGATATTTAACTGTGAATGTACATGTCTTATTTTATTTTATTTTGGCCTTGGGTTGCAATTAATCAATGTGATCTTTTTTGTACCTTTTTGAATTCTGAATATTATTCATAAATGCATATTTTCATATTTTTTGGCTGAACAGACACCAAATTACACAACATTACAACATTAGGCCATTCGTGAAACTTGAGCAGAACAAATTTCCATGCAAATCGTTTTTAACACTATTCTTGCGTATGTTGTCACATTTGAATGAATAATTTTACAAACAGTTTACACAGAATTTTTTTTATAAATGAGGCATTCCAGATAAATATGACCCATAATTATGGTCCGGAGCATATGCAACTGCATAGAGCTCTATGACGTGTCATCAACAAAATCATAACACATTAGTTTGGCAGATCTCGTTCATCACTATTGCTCAGCTTGTGGTTGGCGTCGATCCAGAGGCATTTTCTCTGGAATGATCTCACATCTGCAAAGTGGCATGAAACGCGGCAGAAAATTGATTTGTATGACAGGACGTGATGCGTGCAGCCTGTGGCAGAACACACTGTCCTGCTTCCTAATGCACTCCTCCTTTTTTTCTGTCCATTTCACAGATTTTCTCTCTACAAAAAGAGTTGTAAAATAAATGACGAGCCGAGAGAAAGTGCACACTCGAGGGAGTTAATGCAACAGCTCCGAACTTGCCTTCAGAGGCTTTTAGCAGACGTGCTGTCATACCTCCAGTGCGGTGGATGTTGTCATGGGCCGCTCTGATGATACGCTGGGTGTTTGTGTGCCAGTGACTCACTTCACAACCCGCCAAACTCTCACCAGCCACTGATAACTGCACCATGTGGGCAGTGTTTTCCATTGTAGTCAAAGTAGAATGTGTGTGCGTGCCTGTTTTTGCGTTTAGTGTAGTGTCTCTACATGGTCGCGCGTTTACAGTTCTCCTCTGCTCTCTGTATCGTGCACGGCAGACCTCTTGGAGTTCCGCCCCGATGCGCGCACACACATGCACACAAACAAACACACACACACACAGGTGAGCACACTTCCACCAGCGGATAGAGCGTGTGTCGGAAAATATGTCGCGTCAACCACCTGAAAAGCAGATATCTGCTTTTTTTAAAGCTGCACACTTTGTGGATAATTGTCATAAAAAGAAATGTTCCAATATTAATTATGTCAATGTCCAATAATTGTTCAGTTGTTACATTGACTGCTGTCATTAAAAGAAACACATGAACACCCTCCAAGCTGTAAGGGGAAACACTGGAACATGCCCACGTTATGTGTTATAAATTTAAGCAAATGTAAATTATTTTCAGTTTGTTTTAGGATCATTTTTATTTTTGCTATATGATGCATTAATTAAGAAGTATACATCATATTAATATGTTGTATTGTTTTTTTTATCATATAATTTTTTTGCAAATTGCATTTTTACATTTTATACCACCCCACCCACCATATACCATCCTACCCAGCCCCAAGAAAGCAATCCCCGATTAAAACAAATGACATCTGAAGAAAAAAACTAACAAAAAAACAACAACATGTGCATATACATATACATAGCATGACTGAAATGCTAATTTAAAAAAAAGAAATAAATACATACAAAACAAAAAAAGATATATTTATACATATATATACCTCCACTCAATTCATGTCTAAGGTTTGTAAATCATTAACGAACGTGATAAATTGTTGCCATTTTTCAAAAAACGATTCCCCCCCCACCTCTGATATTGTATTTAATTTTTTCAAGTTTTAAAAAGAAGGCTAATATATGTTGTATTGTTAAATAAAAAATGATTTTACAATATAATGTAGAGAATAATGGGAATTACTGAAAATTTTTTCCCCATAAATAAAAAATAAACACATATAATAACATAATGAATCCATTTATTGATTTATTTATTAGTTTTTTAATGAATGAATGACAAATCTGAACATTGTGACTGATTGATTTTATCTTTTTTTATTTCTATTCTATTCTATTCTATTCTATTCTATTCATACCTCAAAGTGATGCACTTCAGGTCTCAAAAAAAAATAAAAAAAAATAAAATTTGCTGTCTTAAAATGTAATGAAAATTGTCCACTGGAATTACTTACTTGCATACATGAATGCATGAATGAATGTATAGTTGTGTATAATAAATGTATAATAATTAACTAACTAACTAACTTACTAAATAAGTACATTATTTATGTATTTATTTATTTAAATTTCTGATGTTTTTTTTATTTATTTATTTTTTTAATCCTCACCTATTGCAAAAACAAAATGATGCACTTCGGGCCTCACAAGCACACAGTGATGGTTCGGGTCAAGAATGCGGTTTATTCGTCTATATTTCCTCCATGAGCACGTGGTTTCTTTTAAGTCAGTGGACTGGCTGGTTCACTGAATTTATCCAGCTGTTTACGCATCTTTCAACATTTCAAGGTGGTTTCAGAAGAAAGACGAGTAGTTGCATTTGCACCAGTGTGTTTATGTGGAACTGTTTGATTGCTTTACATAATTGTCATTGTTAAGAAGTTTCACTCGAGGTTGAACTAATTGTTTACTGAGGAGAGCAGTCAGTCGAGCATGAGACGAAAGCTTCATTGTTCTTGTGAATTTTGAACTTTCCGAAACTCTTGGCTTGAGAAATCCTTCAGGAATTCTGGTAATGCTAAATATGCAGCATTGAGTAATTGAAGTGCATGGACTCGATTTTCTGGTCCTGACAGACTTGTTAAATAGTGCACAGATTTAACACACCACACGCAGGGGATGCTGTCAAGCTTCAGTCGAAGTTTAGATTGTGTGTGTGTGTGCACGCGCATTACATCACTAAGTAAAGCGGAGTCAATGATTCAGAGTTTCCTACCTGAGCCCGGTCTGGAAATGCAAACTTAGGAATAATTTGACTGAGAACAAACAGACAGGGACTATAGTATTTCTTAAAGGGAAAATGGTAGACCAACCTAACACAAATCATTAAATCGAACAAGCCAATTTAAGAAACAATTTAAAATTAATGGCAATGAAAATTGCTATAAATTTCAGAAATGAAAAGTCAAATTTATATTTTATTATATATTACTATACTATAATTCAGTTTTATTTTAATTAAAATTAGTAAATTGTATATATACACACATTTTCTAGTAATATATATTTATATACACACATTTAATACTTTAATAATATTTGTATATACTTAATCTATGTTTAGTAACTGTACTTTAATTGAATTTTATTTGAATAATAATATTTGTATATACTTAATCTGTTTAGTATTACTGTACTTTAATTGAATTTTATTTGAATCAAAATTAGTGAATTAGAGTGTATAATACACCCTTTCTAGTTATATATTTTTATATGTATGCTTGTATATGTGTGTATAATTTGATAATTTAATATTTGAATTGATATTTGTATTACTTTAAATATAAAACAATTTTATAGTTTAGTTTATATTAAAGAAAAAATTTTTAACTCAAATAAAATTCAATTTTAGAAAAAAAAAATACAATTAAGTTATAAGTTATATAAAAATTATGTTACTATATATATGTTGGTGATATATATTTTTTATTCAGTATTAAACAAATTCCTCTGTTCTGTCACTTGTAAATCCAGAGCCTTGTTAACATTTATTGAGTCAGCCTGAAGTGGTTTTATCAGGTTTGAGGTCTTGAGTCTACAGTTGTAAAGGTTTCTTGTTTGAAAACTGAGCACTCAGACAGATGAAAGACTTCCATATGGTGTTCATACTAATCTTCAGTGTTTTTGAGGGGCTTCGGTGGAGTATTAAAAGTACCACTGTAGTCTCACTGTACTTTACTGGATTTGATCATTCTGTGTATTGTACAGCTTTCAGCATTTTCCACTCAGTTGGCCAATCTCACTTCTAAACCAGAACTGCCATCCAGGTTATTTTGATCAACTCGGGTGTAATTTGCTGATGTTATTTTAATCCCTCCAAAGGCCTAAAATGTCACTGCTGTGCACATACCTTCATTCGAGATCATAAAACGTGATGCGTTAAAGAGCATGATTTGTATGCATGTTCATACCAAAGGCGTACATGATTAAATACTGTAAGAATATTTGGAAGCTCTTTAGTGACTCCCTTTAGCACATTTTTGAACTCCCATTGCTGCTCATAATGATGGAAATAATCTATAACACAGTTTCCAGTGTCTGTGTTCACTATGGAAAATAACAGACCATGTCTGAGAATATGAGGATTCATTGGGTCATGGGGACATAGAAGCGGTTTTGTTCCATGGACATGTTTTAAAAGTCTGTAAGTGTGACATGAATGTTTTAGAAAGTGCTCTTTCTAATAATAAAGCACAAGGTGAGAGCAGGGCTGTCTCTGATATTCTCAAAAAATAAGATTAACAGGTTAACTCAAATGTGACCCTGGAGCACAAAACCAGTCTTAAGTCGCTGGGGTATATTTGTAGCAATAGCCAAAAAAACATTTTATGGGTCAAAATTATCGATTTTTCTTTTATGCCAAAAATCATTAGGATATTAAATAAAGATCATGTTCCATGAAGATATTTAGTAAATTTCCTACCGTAAATATATCAAAACTTAATTTTTGATTAGTAATATGCATTGCTAAGAACTTAATTTGGACAACTTTTAAAGGCGATTTTCTCAATATTTGGATTTTTTTGCACCCTCAGGTTCCATGTTTTCAAATAGCTGTATCTCAATCAAATACTGTCCTATCATAACAAACCATGCATCAATGGAAAGCTTATTTATTCACCTTTGTATAAATTGTATAAATGTATAAATCTCAATTTAAAAAAATTGGCCCTTATGACTGATTTTGTGGTCCAGGGTCACAAATATTTGAATGTGCAGTGCTAAATTCTTACATAATGGAATTGACAAGAATTTGCATTTTATGACTGTTGTTTTGTTTTGTGCAAATATTCATTTTTAGATCCCCTGCATACTCACAGAAGATACCACAGCGACTACAGCTCCTCCAGCGAAAGCCCCTCCATAACATCATCAGACCCCGACTACAGACAAGGTTGTACTAATATCCTCATCAATTTTTTAATACAACAGGTGCATGAAGTATTTCTAGGTTCAGTGCTGGATAGTAACTGATTACTGGATTACGTAATCAGATTCCAAAAATTAAGTAATTATGATCAGGTTATATTAAATTTTAAAGTGCACATAATCAGATTACAGTTACTTTTCTTATAGATTACATGATTGCATCGTTTCTAAAAAAAACCTCCTTTCGCTTATACATTTATAAAGTCTTCCAGTTTTATGGAACAGCACACACCAGCCACTAGTCAGGTGACCATAAATACACAGAAAATGGAAAGGCCACACAATTTAATTGTAATTTGACATTGTATTATGTAACTAATTATTAGCTTTTCATCACCTCACAAACCCCACTTTAGGAAACCTTGGCGTAGTGTAATGTTTAAAGCACTATTTGATGTTGATAACAAAGAATGGAAAACATTTTCTTACAAGTTGCGTCAAAAGTACTCAAAGTACTCTGAATACCTTACCTAATATGTGTAATACAACAGATGTTGTTACAAACTACAATTTCCATTATGATTGTAATCAGTAATGGATTACAATTTGTAAGTAATATACCTAGCACTGGGTCATATTTTGCTCAAGTCAAAATGATCTCTTTAAACATATTTTATTAAATTCTGCTGGTTTAAGCTCTATTAGGAAGTTATATTACTCCACAAAAACTTTTTAGTCTTTTTGTAGCAGTGTCAACCCTAAATACATTTTTGAGTTTTTATCTAAAGCAAACTTTAGAATTGCTTGTTGAATTTTTGAATTGCCCATTTATACTGTCAACTTGTTACTCGTTAATTAAAAAAAATAAAAAAAATAAAAAATGATGTTATGGAAGCCCGTTTCCGCCACTGAATAAAAAAATAAAAAAGGTAAATTTTATCTCACTTTTTATCTCACAATTCTGACTTTTTTTCTCATAATTGTGATACAAACTCACAATTCTGACTTTTTTTCAAAAGTTGTGAGATATAAACTTGCAATTCTGAGAAATAAAGTCAGAACTGCGAGATATAAACTCACAATCTTGACTTTTTTTCTCAGAATTTATGAATGGCATTTATGAATGCAGTGTGAGTCATCGCATCTCATAATACTGTGGCCATTTCAACACTTTAGATGAATGTGGGTGGATGTCATTTGAATTCACTCATTGATGACCATCCAGTTCATATAGGGGACATAAAGATGCTTTTTTATTTGCATATTACTGTGCAAGGCACATACTTTACATGCATTCATTTCACAACTTTCCTCTGTACTCAAACAGCTAAGAAGCCGGAAGATTTAAGGCGATACAGCTCTCAGGTCGGCCTGTCAGAGCATGACGCCATTTCACTCAGCAGTGCACAGAGACACAGGTATTCTCTCTTTTTCTCTGATGCTTCCTGCTTTGTGTTGATCAATCATGCACATCCTGTCTGTACTGACCCCTTCTAGTGGTCTTTTGTGGACCCCAGCCCAAGTTAATGATAATCTAAACCCTTCCTGAGTTAATTTCCTCTCATCCTGTTCAAGTTTAGTTCTGGTTACAAGAACCGCAGCTGTGTGTGTGTGTGTGGTTTTACTGTGGGGACAAAATTGTCCCCAGAAATGATACAAACAGCACAAAACCTCAAAACCTCATCCTCATAGGTGAAAGTTATGTAAATATGTTTTCCTTGTTTCTAAGAGCAAGGTTTGGGTTAGTGTGTAGTATTGTAGATAGTGTGTGTAGTATAATGTAGATAGTTAGAACTGTGTTCAAGCAATAAAGTTCACAAATTTTCACAAATATTGTGAGAAATGTTATTTTGAACACATGGTTCTCATGATTTGAAAGGCTCATAAATCAGCCAAATAATGCTTTGCACGTCAATTAAAGTGTCAAAAGGTTTCTGTGGGAGTTAAAGGAAGTATGCAATAAATATTAGCATCTTAATATGAAAATCATTGCGCCTACGGGCTGTCCTTGCTAGGATATAACTTTTAAAGGTCGCTCTGTGTGTTTTTTAGATTATGGAAAAAGTGCTCTGCTTATAAATGTATGTGAAGTTGTTTTAAAATGAGCATTTGAATTATGTCATCACTATTGTCATAATCGTAAGACCAGTTTATGTTAGATACTTTGCACTTTGATATCCCACTGTTTTCCCTCGTTCTCTGCCATTAACAGCTTTTCCAGTGATCTCACAGCAGCTTTTGTTGCATTTTATTCTTATTTTCCCTGGCAAACCCCCAAAAGTCAATGTGAATACTGTAAAACCTTCCATCTAATATATTTCTCATTGAGTCAGTGATATTCTACTTCTCCCCCTGCTGGTTAACCAGCTGAACTACCCAACACCGCTCTTCCCTGCTGTAGATGTTGGCAGTGATGCGGTCATGACGAGGGTTGCCAGGTGTTCCTGTTTTGTAGAGCAGGTTTTGGGGCAGAGTTCAGTAATTGATTCCCTGAGGATGCCCAAGACAAAGAGCTGCGCCATGGGTCACCCCACAGCAACCAGCTGGCTCTGCTATTGGGTGGCATGCCAGAGTGCTTACGTAACACACAATGCTTCACGCTTATTCTGCTAGGATTCATTTTCACCTTTCCATCTTATGATCTGAATTTGAAAGCAGTGAAAATGCACGGAGTTACTACACTTGCAAACACCTTCCTGGTTTTGCCTTGTTTCCAGACTTTTTGAGGTGGGTCAGGATGAGCTGTCAGGCACAGAACTTCTGATCCAGCGTCAGGAAGAGTTGCACAGGCTCCAGGCCCGGCTATCTAGAGCCTCCATCTATCCCGGCGAAGACCCACGTGCCTCCATTCTGGACCTGGCTGAGCCCCTTCGCAGCAGTCCTTTGGAAGCAGGCCTTCATCCACGCAAATTTAAAGTAATGCAGTGTAGCTGAATTCAGATTGAATTCACATTATACAAGTTTTAGTGTTAGTGACAAAAGATAAAGTAGTCCAGTTTAATTGAGTTCAGATTGAATTCACTATGCATTGTATATTGCATTATTAATAATCTAAATAAAATGTAATCCAGATCATCTGAATTCAGATTGAATTGACTTCAGCTTTGTCATTTACACTATAACTTTTATGAAGTAATTGCATTTAACTGAATGCTTATTTATGCAGGTTTTGCATGATTGATGTAAAGCAAAAGAATCAAGGTCTACTAAATTCAGATTCAATTCAGTTTATGCAAGTTACTGTGTTAGTGACAAAGAATAAAGTAATCCAGTTTAACTGAATTCAGATAGAATATGCCTAAAGTGCATTTACTGTACATTACATTGTGAATAAAATAACAATCCAGTCCTTCTGAATTCACACTGAATTCACTTTAGTTTTGCACTATTCACACTATAACTGCCATTAAGTAATCCATGCTCAATTGAATTCATAGTTATTTTAAGCATGTTTAAACGTGAATGATGCAAAGCTGAATAAATAAGTCACCTTAATTCAGATTGAGTTATAGTGTAAATGATGCAAGCATAAAAGAATTCAGTTTGACTTAAGATGTTACTTTGTAAATTATATATATGTTTTCTGAAGGAAAAAGCAGAATAACTTCAAATTGTTACTAAAACTAAGTTTAACTGTGTGGGACCTTTAAAATTTATTTTGTTCTTGTTGTAGAATTTGTTTGGCCCTGAGTTTGTGAGGATGAGCAGCGAGCCAACTGTGGTTTTAACCGTTCCTTCATCCATAATGGTAAGACAGCTAATCTGCTTTGCTTTATGCTGCTACGTAATTGTATATACATTTATCGTTTTTGCATGTGTTTCAGCAGAACAAGCGTGGGAAGGTGGAGGAGAGTCAGAGGAAGGTGGGGGTGGTCTTACTGAACGGGCAGAAGTTGGAGCTGTGTTGCGATGTGAAGGCGGTCTGTAAGGATGTTTTGGACATGGTCGTAGCTCACATTGGACTGGTCGAGCACCATCTCTTCAGTCTCGCCTACTTTAAAGGTGCATAAACCATCTTCCTTTAAAACTGGTATTAAACTATGTGAAAATTCACTCTCTACTTTTCTGCCCCCATTAGTATTTTGTATACCTTTCGGTGTTATACAAAAAACTAAAGTAAATATGTTTTCATAGAAATACAGTTTTGTGTTTTTTGTTATTTAAGTCAAGTCTAAATGAAAGCTCCATGCAGAATGTATTAATATCTTATTACTCCTTCATGTTAATGTCCTCTTTGGAATGGTGTTTAGGAAGAATTTCTTGGAAATGTCAACAGTATGATTTATTGCAGCTTATGTTATGGGTACCTGTTCAGGTAAACAGAGCAATTTGATCATGAAGTGTGTAAATACAACAGAATAAATAACTCTGTTGTTCTCTTCCTGACGTGCTACCCCGCGTGACTCCTTTAGTTACAGCTCTAATGGACATGGGTGATTTGTGTCCACAGATGGTTCATTAAGTCCTCTGACTCATGCCTCCCAAACCAAAGGCTGCTTTAGTTTGTTATGCTGCATTGAACTCTTTTAGCATAATCTGTTTGTTTATCTTTCTTTATCTTTCCTCTTTTTTTTTTCTTTTAGATGACGAGTTCTTCTTCATTGAACCTGATGCCAAACTTTCAAAGGTGGCGCCTGAAGGTTGGAAGGATGACCCGAGGAAAAAGAAGATGGATGTCAATTTTAATCTGTTCCTACGTATCAAGTTCTTTCAGGATGATGTCAGTCTGATACAGTAAGAGCTGACAACATAATCAGAGTCTAAAAATAGAATTCTTTCTTATGAGTCATTAGCTTTTTCATGAATTGCAAAATAATGCAGTAAATCATTGCAATCTTTATTTATCAGAAATGTAGCTACAGTAGAAAGCCAAATGCTTTTACAGCGGTTTTAATTTTATTGGTGCAACTCCAGAACTTTGTGGTTACGTGTTCCTCTTGTTAGGCCACCACAAAGAAAATATAAACCAGTTCACAGTGGGTCTCAATTATGTTGCAAAAATATGTTTTCAAGGAAATAGTTTGAAATAGCTGAACAAAAATATATTTTCTCACTTCACCCACCTTTGTCAGCTTCATTTTAGTAAAGACTATGGAATACCCAAGACGTGTCACTCGTATAGTTTTGAACGGGGAAAAATGCAACACTCAATATGGCCGCTCTATCGAATGAAGCCCCGCCTTTTGAGCAAAAGAGCCAATCGCTAATCAGTAAAGTCACCGTGTCACTGCAGCTGCCCTTAGAAGTCGGTTGCTATAGAAACAGTCATAAGCTATAAGAAATACGCTTTTTATAACTCTATTTGTGCAAAAGAAACAACATTTATGACACAGTTGTTGTCAGATTTCATTGGTGATTTCAAATATGAAATTTAATCGTGAGCTTAGTGAACAGTTTTGGAGAATTTGATGTTTTCCCATTCAAATAGATAGGAGCTGCACTTGCATGCCTGAGAGGCGTTTCAAAGATGACTGCCGAGTGATATGACTTGAAGCATATATATACACACTATTGTTCAAAAGTTTGGGGTCTGTAAGATTTTTAAATGTTTTTGAAAGAGTGTCATATGAAGAAATACGCTTTTTATAACTCTATTTGTGCAAAAGAAACAACATTTATGACACAGTTGTTGTCAGATTTCATTGGTGATTTATTTCAAATAATTTAATCGTGAGCTTAGTGAACAGTTTTGGAGAATTTGATGTTTTCCCATTCAAAGAGATAGGAGCTGCACTTGCATGCCTGAGAGGCGTTTCAAAGATGACTGCCGAGTGATATGACTTGAAGCATATATATACACACTATTGTTCAAAAGTTTGGGGTCTGTAAGATTTTTAAATGTTTTTGAAAGAGTGTCATATGCTCACCAAGGCTCAATTTATTTGATCAAATACATAGCAAAAAAGTAATATTGTCAAATATTACAATTAAAACCATTTACTATATTAATATATTTTAAAATGTAATTTATTCCTGTGATGGGAAACTGAATTGTCAGCCATTCTCAAGACACAGTTATTATTATCTATGTTGAAAACAGTTTGCTACTTTTCTCAGCGCTACTTAATATAGCTGTGGAAACTGTAACACTTTTTTTTTCAGCATTCTTTGATTAATAGAAAGTTAAAAAAACAACATTTATTTGAAAGATTGTCACAATGTAACAATTTGAAATTCTTTAATGTCACATTTAATCAGTTTAATGTGTCCTTGCTGAATAAAAATGTAAAAAAAAAATAATAATAAAATAAACAAACAAAATCTTCCATACTTTTGAACAGTTATTTATATTAGCATGTACAGTATATACGTATGTACATGTATGTATTATTCAGTTAACCCAAAATAATTAATTAACATTGTTTTATATAGACACACAATGACCAAACACCAGTACTACTTGCAGCTGCGGAAGGATATATTAGAGGAGCGGGTACGCTGTGACCTGGAAAATGCCATGATCTTGGCATCTCTGGCACTGCAGGCAGAGTTTGGGGACTATCAGACTGAGGTACAAACTACAGCAGAAAAATAGAGGAAAATTTTGTTTGAGATTTTTGAAAATGTATATTTTATTTTATTTTATTTTATTTTATTTTATTTTATTTATTTTATTTTATCCCAAAGTGCATTGCATCTAAAATACAAATATTTTTGTGAAAAAGGAATCTTAAATTCTACATCTAAAGTTTATTTTGGCCATCTGAGCATCATCTTATCTCAGTACATGTTTTCTCCTCTTTGTTCCGTCAGCTTCACGGAAAGACATATTTCCGAACGGAGCACTACCTCCCTGCTTCGGTTCTGGATAAGATCGATCAGACCACCATTAAAGAAGAGTTACCCAAACTCCACAGCTCATACTACAACGCTTCAGAGCAGGAGGCCGAACTTGAGTTCCTCAAGGTCAGGAACGAAACGCATCAATCAAGTGTGATTCAAGGCAGAGCTTCCTGATTGGCCAAACTTCCATAATTGACTTGAATAAACGTAGATTGCTGCAGTCTGTTTTCTCTCAGATACTCTTGATTACAGCTTTTTGAATCGGGAGTAGTCGCAAGACCAAAAGTTGTTCTTGGAACTTGGTTGTACACATTCACATACATCGTTTCTTTTTTTTTAACTAGATAAGTGCAGTCAATAATTGTGAATAAATGGACTTTAATTATTTTGATTCAGATAAATTTCCTTTCCTAATAGCTGTTGTTGTAGACTGCATGTGATTAGATCTGTCTCGTCATTTCTCTGTTATGTGAAGGTGTGCCAGAGACTGCCGGAATATGGAGTTCACTTCCATCGTGTGCTTCCAGAAAAGAGATCCTTGACTGGCATCATGCTGGGCATTTACTCGAAAGGTGTCCTCATCTTCGAGGTCCTGAATGGAAATCGAACCCCTGTGCTAAGGTTCCCCTGGAGGGATACCAAGAAGATCTCTTTCACGGTAAGATGTTTAAATTCGCATGTTTACATTTAGTGGAAATCACACGGCTGTGCTGGAGTTTCCCAGAAAAAGTTCAGCTTCAGGCTGTTTCCACATGGAATCATTTGGAGTGTCAGTAACCCCTTATGTCTTTGTGTTTCTGTATGGTAGAAAAAGAAGATTTGCTTGCAGAACACTTCGGACGGGATCAAACATCTGTTTCAGACAGATAGTCCGAAGACCTGCCAGTATCTGCTGCACCTGTGCTCGGCCCAGTACAAATTCCACCTGCACATGAAAGCCAGACAGAACAACCAAGAACTGCAGGACCTGGGTAAGAAAAGAAAAAAAAAAAGAGCAAATACAATGGCGACTGAGAAATCAAACATTGATTTTTAGGATTTACACTTTATGAAAAAAAAAAACACAAAAACACTATAAATATTGTAAATATAGATTCAGATTGTATTTTTTTTTTTAATGATTTCTTTATTTTTGTTTGGCACTTTTAGTTCGGAATCTTTTTAAAGAAATCAATACTTTTGTTCATAAAGGATGCGTTATGATCAAAAGTGTTTAAAAATAACAATAAAGACATTTATAATGTTAGAAAAGATTTCTATTTCAATAAAATGCTGTTTAAAATTTCTGTTCATCAAAGAATCATGAACAAATAACAGTTTCCACAAAAATCAACATAATAATAATAAATGTTTCTTGAGCAGCAAATCAGTATATTAGAATGATTTCTGAAGGGTCATGTGACACAGTAATGATGTGTCACATGACCCATGTGAAAATTCAGTTTTGCCATCAAAGGAATAAATCCCATAAAAATATATATTAATAAATATGTAATATAATTAAAAAAAACACTGTTGTAAATTGTAGTATTATTCCACAATACTGTTGTTTTACTGCATTGTTGTTCAAATAAAACATTAAAAAAACGCTTACAGACCTCAAACTTTCGAGCAGCATTTAATGGATTTACTTAGAATAAACATTTTATAATATTAAACAAATCACATTCTGTTTTCAAATTTTCCTCCAAGACGAGAGCACACTTTTAAAGACAGAAGTAAGACCACTTGAGGACTTCTGATATTTAATTTCCATAATTCAAAAATATTTGCATCAAAGAGAAAACTTTTAGTTTCAGGCAGAATATGAGTTAAACTCCTAGTTATTAAACAAAATGAGAAAAGCTAATTTGAAATAAGAGGCTTTGAGAAAATTGGGAAGTGTTCCAAATGGCCCATTCTCCTCAGGCTGCTCTTGAAGAATTGGCATTGAACTGAAAGTTTCAGGTTTGAAAAAGCAATCTAGAGTCAACATAAGCCGGGATGTAGAGCTTTCTTTGTTGTGTAAAAACAACAAATGCCATGTGAACTGAAGTTCTTGGTTTTAACTGTTGCTCTTTTCATGTCGTTTACCATCTTCTGTCCTTTTTCCCTGCAGAGAACTCTCCTCTGAGCAGTCTGCAGTACTCTGATGGGATGGGTGCAGTTAGTCTGTCCCCCAGCTCTGACCCTGAACTCTACAAGAGGATGTCCTACTCTGAGATCTCCCTCAGCAAGGGTTCGAGTCGGATCTCTGTTCCTCCCGAACCACCTTATCCAGGGTTCAGCAGCAGCTCCAACCCCAGGATGAAGAGTCGTTCCCATCATAACTTGGGTCAGCTGCCTGAGTCGCCAGAGCACAGGATGGTGCCTTTCAGTAGCCAATCACAGAGCAGCATGACACGTTCACAAGTGCTTGCATCAACACACCAGCGTGCAAGCTCCGACACGGACTCCATCGCTGTCGCCAGACAGCAGGAAGGGTGAGAGACACATATAAAACAAATGACATTCTTGTGTTATTCACTGTTTGTCTTGTAGTTTTTACATTCTCATCTCATCTCTTAACTTTTAGTTTGTTTTATACGGTCATTACACCTATCTCACTTTCCTATCTTTGTACCAATCTTCTGCTCTGAGTAATTTTTTTTCTTTTTTCTTTTCATTTTACAAAATCTTTACACCAGTCTCACTCTCTAGCTCTGACATGGTTCTCTTGCTCTTCTCTTTTAGAATATTTTTTTTTACAGCTGTTGTCTTCTTCTGTAGTTTGTCATGTAAATAATGTCTTTACAGCTGTCTCACTCTCTTAACCTTGTATAATTTGTTTCGTTTTCATAATTAGAGAATAACTCATTCTGCTTGGCTGCAGTTTGTCTTTTTGTAAATCTTTACACTCAATGTACACTTATTTTACAATGTCTTTACACCCGTCTCACTATCCTTTTCTGCTGTAGTTTGTTTTGTCTTTACGACAGTTTGTCTTATTTCTTTCTGCTTGTGTTAATTTCTATTTTCTTTATATATGTCTCACTCTCCTGCTGAGTGTTTTTTTTACAATATCTTTACACCCGTCTCACTCTAGCTCTGACATGGTCTCTCTTATTTCTTTAAAACTGTCTCAATCCCCTGATCTGCTGCTGTTTTTTACATGCTCGTCTTGTTCTCTTGCTCTGCTATTTTACAATATTTTTTACAGCTGTCTCACTCTCCTAACCTTGTATAATTTGTTTCATATTCCCAAATAGAGAATAACTCATTCTGCTTGGCTGCAGTTTGTCTTTTTGTAAATCTTTACACTCATTTTACACTTTTTACAATGTCTTTACACCCCTCTCACTATCCTTTTCTGCTGTAGTTTATGACATATTTGTCCCCGTCTCACTCTCCTGATCCATACAGTTTGTCTTATTTCTTTCTACTTGTCTTAATCTCATTTTCAGTTTCTTTTAGTGTCTTTATATCTATCTCACTCTCCTGCTCCGAGTGAGTCTTTTTTTTTTTTCTCCAATGTCTTTACACCCGTCTTACTCTCTAGCTCTGACGTGGTTTGTCTTATATTTCAAAGTGTCTCAGTCTTCTGATGATTTGTATCTTCACACTTGTATCACTCTCCTGCAGTGATTAGTCTTATCATATCTTTACACCCGTCTTTTTCTCCTGCTTGGTTGTAGTTTGTCTTGTAGTTTCTTTACACTTCTCTCACTCCTGTAGTTTATCTTATAAGGTCTTTACACCTGTCTCACTCTCCTCTTCTGCTGTAGTTTGTTTTATGATATCACTGAATCTATCTCAATCTCTTGATTTAATTCAGTTTGTCTGATTTCTTTACACATGCACCAATCTCCAGTTTTTTAAAATATTTTCTTTTATATCTTTACACCTGTCTCACTCTCCTAATCTGCTGTAGTTTGGTTTATTTCTTCAAAACAGTGGCATTGTGATTACTGTCTTACATCTTTATACTCGTCTCACTCTCTACCACTGGCATGGTTTCTCCTTATGTCTTCATACTTGTCTCACTCTCCTGCTCTGCTGTGCTGTTTTACAATATCTTTACACCCGTCGTCTTCTCCTGATCAGTTGTAAATCATGTCTTTTATACCTGTCTCACTCTCCTAATCTTGTAAAATTTGTTTTGTAATGTCTAATAGATAATAACTAACTTTAGCGTCCTGCTATGTCTTTTTTGTATCATTTGTACCCAATTTACACTCATTTCACAGTGTCTTTACACCTGTCTCACTCTCCTAATCTGCTGTAGTTTGGCTTATTTCTTCAAAACAGTGGCATCGAGTCTACCGTCTTACATCTTTATACTCGTCTCACTCTCCTACCTTTTAGTTTTTTATACCCATCTCACTTTCATGCTCGTCTGCAGTTTGTGTTCTAATGTCTTTACGCCTGTCGCACTCTCCTGATCTGCATTTCTCTGTTGCTCTGTCGCTTGGCACTGAGCTGCCTGGGGCCAACAGCATTAATCGGTTCTCATGGAAGACAGACAGCCACTGTGCATGTGAGAGTGACAGACTTAAAACTGTGTTTGCAGATGTTTGCGAACATTTTTGTGTTCCTGTGAAGATAATTGTAATGTTTTAGACTCCATGATGTAATGCATGCTCAGTTGGGGAAGTCTTGATTTAGCAGATTATAATCAAGAACGTTTTTATGAATTGAGTATATAATTTCGGCTTCTAAATATGCAGTGAGTTCCTCACTCCAGCGATATTATGGATTGATCAGAAAATGAAAATAACTGCATTTATTCCGCTCTGCCACTGGAAGTAATTGCCTCTGCGCTGATTTTCATGATCATTTTCTTTTTCCCCTGCATCATCAGTGTGTTCAGCAGCACGGTGGATGACAGTCCCCGCTGGAGCCCCAAAAGCTTGAAGAAAGAGTCCGACTCTTCCTCCTGTGAGGACACGGGACAGGCGTATGTCGTAGGTGAGGACAACGAGAACCGACCGGCTGTTTCTTTCTTATATCCACTCGCACATGGCTCATCACCCTCAAAGGACTTGTCTTTCTGCTTTTGAACGTTCTCTAACTTCCTTACTTTGTAGTCTCTCTCTTCTGATAGTCTGTCAGGATAGTGGGCGGAATCTGTCTGTGCGTCTCAGCCGCTGTCTGCCTCTTTCGTTTTATCTTTTGAACAGCTCTCTCCCTCTGTTCCCTCACTGATCTTTTCATTTTACCTCTCCATTTCATCCCATCAGCCGCTGTCAGATCAGACAGAGCAGCAGCCCAAATCCTCTCAACATCTTCCTCCGCATGTAGAGAGATGCCATAAAGAGATTACAGTCTGAATTTATGCGCTTGTACATGCATCACTGCATTTCTATATGTCAGAGAATAATACAAGCCTTTATACAATTTAAAAGCCACCGTCAGTATTCGGCTGATGCTGGTTTTCAGTGGATGTGGCTGATATTATACTGACAGGCTGTGTGTCACAGTGATTTAACCATGCTAAATAATAGTTTTGGGGTTAAATTGACCCTATTTATTTATTTATAAATAATTTTATTTTATTCCTTCATGCATGTTTTATTGTTCTCCATTTCATCCCATCAGCCGCTGTCAGATCAGACAGAGCAGCAGCCCAAATCCTCTCAACATCTTCCTCCGCATGTAGAGAGATGCCATAAAGAGATTACAGTCTGAATTTATGCGCTTGTACATGCATCACTGCATTTCTATATGTCAGAGAATAATACAAGCCTTTATACAATTTAAAAGCCACCGTCAGTATTCGGCTGATGCTGGTTTTCAGTGGATGTGGCTGATATTATACTGACAGGCTGTGTGTCACAGTGATTTAACCATGCTAAATAATAGTTTTGGGGTTAAATTGACCCTATTTATTTATTTATAAATAATTTTATTTTATTCCTTCATGCATGTTTTATTGTGCACATAAATCCAAATAAATAATTTTTCCTTTTCGGGTGACATACAAAATTCTTTTACTTTTCAGTCTCTTCATTTTGGTATGTAACACCATGGTTCAATCAATTCCTAGTGGAAATTCACTTGGAAATACATTATGCAAAATGAAAACACTGTTTTGTGTTATCTTTAACCATGATGAAATCATCATTGTTGCTTTAAAATGACAAATTAAGACATCAGTCTTCAATAAATACTTGAATTTGTTAATAGTAATAATACACTGAACAAAAATATAAACGCAACACTTTTGTTTTTGCCCCCATTTTTCATGAGCTGAACTCAAAGATCGAAGACTTTTTCTATGTACACAAAAGGCCTATTTCTCTCAAATATTGTTCACAAATCGGTCTAAATCTGTGTTAGTGAGCACTTCTCCTTTGCCAAGTTAAGTGATATAACTGTGATTGTAACTACAGTACCATTCAAAATTTAGTGTTAAAATTTAGTTATTTAGATTTTAAAAAAATTTTTTGAAAGAAATATCTTATACTCACTAAAGCTGCATTGTTTGAGCAAAAATACAGTGATAACATTAATATTGTGAAATATTATTTCAGTTTTAAGTAACTTTTTTCTTTTTATTCCTGTGATGCAAAGCTGAATTTTCAGCAGCAGGAATCATTGATGATATTTTTTATTTATTCTTATTTTATTATTCTATATTTATTTTAAATAAAATGTTTTTTTTTAACATTATTATTGACTTGACTGTTAATTTTCAACAGTAAATATCAATTTAATATTTCTTTGCTGAATAGAAGTATTAATTTATGATCTGAACTAGGAGTAACACAAAATAAAAAGAAGTTGATTATCATTTTCTTTATTAATACTGTATTATTAATATATAATTATAAATAAAAAGCATGTTTCAAATTGTTGAATGATATTTACAAATAATATGGACAAATAATATTTAATAATATTTTAATTATCCAATCAGAGTCAAGCTATCAATTTTATAAAATGCATAAAGCAAATGAAATAAATTGACTAAGATTTGGAATGCATGTATTTAAAAAAAATATGCATTAACAATAATTGGTTTTGAAAATGACACAAGGAAGGAATTGTCAGGATATCAGACTTAATTTCCCCTTTTATACATACATTACATTTTTTATGTAGTTGCGCCTGTCTAGTGATTGATTCGTTTTTTTTTTTATGATCTCCAGGTGTGAGCATGCACAGCTCTGGAGTGCCCTCTACTCCTGCCTCCTCCATAGGAATCACTGGTACGCTGTATAATCATTTAGCTTTGTGTAGCACAGCACAGCTCTGTGTGCTTTTCTGCCTGTCATCTGTTTCTTTTCAATGGTCAAATTTAGTAAGTCCTAAATGTTGGTAGGAAATGTCATGTCCTGGTCTGGCCCTAAAACACAAACATCTGCTAAAATTGCAGTGAACTTTACGTGAAGCAAAACAGGCCTGTTTTTAATGTCAACAACAGTAGTTTACCTCGCAGTGACACCGACCTCCGCTTAATCAGAGCTCAGGAACCCAAAGTCTTACGAGAACTTGCCAAATCCAACATGCTCCGGATTGCTATGTCTTCTCTGGTGTTTTACATGGCATGGAGAACATCTTTTCAAAAGCACTGCTCTCTCGCGCGGACACTTGGCTCAAGTTTCATTGGCGTCTGTCTCTGGCTCAGACGCATTCTGCTTCGCTAAGCTGTGTGTTTTTTAGCAGCTCTGATATACGGCTGTGTTGTGGGCTAATCTCCCTCATCCTCGAGAATGAGCTGCTGGCCACGGATGTTAGTATAGCACATCAGAGCTGGGCCAAACATAAGGCCGTCCCTTCGCACCAAGACACTAGTTATGAAAAATTAGCCCAGCTTATGGAGAGCTGTGCATGTGTTTGATATGTTTAATACCAATATAAATACACAGAGCAAGCGTTAGCCTGCTTTCACTAGCTCTTCCCAGTTCTTCAACTTGTTACATCACAGATGTATACAATACTTCCTAACTATTCTGTATTTGATCAATTCAAAATGCAAAATTTTTTCAAGTATACATATTTGTTTTGTAAGTTTTGTATAATTATTCATTTTTAAATACAAAAAATTTACTACATTTGTGTTCTGTACTAAATGTATATAAAGAGTCAGATAATAATAATAGTAGTAAGTAAATAGTAGTAAAAAAGTTAATCAACTAAAATTCTAGTTAACTGAAAGAAATTAAAAAACATTTTTTATTTTTTAACAAATTGATAAAAACTATACAAACATATTTAATTAGACTTTAAAATGATAAATTATAGACTATCTATCTATCTATCTAAGCCACTTTACTTATTTATTTATTTGTTTGTTTGTTAAAGCTACTTATTTATTTATTAAAACTAGGGATGCACCGATACCGATACTGGTATCGGTATCGGGCCCGATACCGATACCAGTATCGGTATCGGTGCATCCCTAATTAAAACTATTTATTCATTTATTAAAGCTACTTATGTATTTATTAAAGCTTCTTTATTTATTTATTTAAAAAAATCATATGAAATTAAATGTATTACAAAAATTACATACTACATGACCCCTTTAAAATTAAATGAAAGATAATTGCGGTGCTCACTGTGGTCTGTAGAGATTTTTTTTTTTTTTCTATTTTGTGATGCTTGTTTTGTTTTATTTTGTTTGAAAATGTAAATTTGTGAATAGGATTTTACATTTTTAATTGTGTTTGTGATGGATTGACCTTCTGAGAGTTACAAAGTGTGTTTGTATGAATGAACACTCTGTTTTAAAACCAGACCTCTTTCCCTTTGGTATTTCCCACCCACAGACGCCTTGAAGAAGAAAGTACATGCCTTACCCTCCCCAGAGCAAGAGATACAGACCATAAATCTGAAGAAAGATGTCAAGTACGGGCTGGGTGAGTAACAAGACCCTCTGCTGTAGAGACGGGTTCACATGTCCAGTCAGAATGGAACTCTACTGACACAGAAATGCTGTTAAACGGCTGGATTATTGGAACACACACACACACACACACACACACACACACACACACACACACACACGACTCTGGCAGGAATAAGCGTAGTGTGACATAGTGCAGAGGTCTGGCAGTCCTCACTGCTCACACACTGTGATTAATGAATCCCACTCCAGGAGAGAGAATGTGCTGTTTTACATCCGCCGCAGATGGTGACCTGCACTGAAATATCTTATCAGGATTCGGTCTGAATAAGAGGTTGTCTATCACTGATAAGAGAAATACATTTAGTAAATGCACAAATCACAGTTTCAGTATAGCATTGTTGACTCTGGACATTTGCCTTTTTTTAGCAAGATACAGTAGAGTGAAGTGTGTGGTTTGTGTTGCGCTCAGGCTTTCAGGTGGTAGGTGGAGAGAATTCTGGCCGTCAGGACCTCGGCACAATCATCAGCTCCATCACACCAGGTGGACCAGCTGAGATCAACGGCTGTCTGAAACCAGGTATAAAAGTGGAGAGGAGTGGTGCTTTCACCCTTGCTGCTTTATTTTTATGTAGTTGTTTGAATTTTGAGATTGAAAGCATCATCACTTTTAGTGGAGAATTCATAGAAATATGTACATAAACTTGCTAAATTAAAAGAATTTAAAAAAAAACAATCAAGCTAAAATATGAAGAGTTCATTTGCAAAAACCGATAAACGGCATTTTTTAAAAAATGAGCTGATTGCCGTGCATTATTTTCCACATATAGCGCGATCTGAACCCAAAACGCGTTTTGTCAAAAAAGCCGGTTTTGTCCACTTTCAAGGCATCGCGAGTTCACGTTTTACTGCAGAAGCCAGCAAGCAAGCGTTTTTGAACAGAAGCCGATAAGTCCATTTTAGCGAATCAGCACGCTGTATTCAGGTCAGGTGACAAGGCTACTTTCACTTTGAAAAGACGTGCTAGCTGAGAGGAGTTTCGTCAAAGCTGACTAAAAGTGATCGAGGATGGATAATTTCGACCAACTTGATGAACCTGTGATATCTTCTTCAGGGTGAAAAAGGAAAATAAAAGCTGAAACATTTTCACGGAACCTAGCAAAAGCAGCGCGTTACAATGGTGAGGAAAAAGCTCCGTGTATTGCGTGTAATCACATCCATACAGTCTATGATCACAACAACAACAACGTTTGTCAGGCATCTACATTGTCATCTGAGGAGATTAAAAAGATTAAACGAGTGTTTATTTAAACTCTAAAACATGAAATGTGTAGTTATCTACTTTTGCCAAAAAACGACTGTTGGAGTTATCTGCTTTTGCTATAAAACAAACTTTTAATATGCAAAAAAAACATACTTCCAATAAACTTTAATTTAGTTTCAGAAAAAATTTATTGCCGTGAATTATTCTCAACATATAGCGCGATCTGAACCCTAAACACGTTTTGTCAAAAAAGCCGGTTTTGTCCACTTTCAAGGCATCGCGAGTTCACGTTTTACTGCAGAAGCCAGCAAGCAAGCGTTTTTGAACAGAAGCCGATAAGTCCATTTTAGCGAATCAGCACGCTGTATTCAGGTCAGGTGACAAGGCTACTTTCACTTTGAAAAGACGAGTTTTTGACGAGTTTCATCAAAGCTTACTAAGGGTGCTTTCACACTAGCACTTTTGGTGCGCACCCGGGTTCGATTGACGTCAGAGTTCGGTACGTTTGGATGATGTGAACGCTGTCTTCCGAACTCGGGTGCGCACCCGCGAACTCTACCCAACTCCGCTTAAAAAGGGTGGTCTGGGGTACGGTTCAAGTGAACTCCGATTAAACGAGTGTTTTTTAAACTCTAAAACATGAAATGTGGAGTTATCTGCTTTTGACAAAAAACTAACTTTTAATATGTAAAAAAAAACATACTTTCAATGAACTTTAATTTTGTAAATTACCTGTATTTTTTAAAGTTATTATTGCTTAATCAAAACAACCCAACTGCAGGTTGATATTACTAGGAATGCGCAAAAAAAAACAAAACAAAAAAAAAGTTATTAAAAATGTTTGCAAATTTTTGCAAATTAACTCTTCATATGTTTTCCCTCTCGGTAACTATTGTCTGTAATACTTTAAATATCTGTGGAATAATTTTAAATGATTTTAAAATACTTTTATAAAATTTAAGGAATGCTTTCCCATACACTTTTGAACAATTCCAGAATGATCCAAAAAATTTTTAGAACATTTTAAACTGGTTCCAGGACTCTTTGAATGATTACAGAACATATTGAATGATTATACAGTGCTTAAATCATTTTTGTATGTTTTAAATGATCCTTAATGCTTTAAATAATTTTAGGATGTCTTTAACGGCACTTAGAACTCTTTAAACGGCCACAAATTCTAGAGCACTTTGAGCAAATCTTGAATTGTGGAACGTTTCCAGAACTCTGTAAATGATTCTAGAAACCTGACTTTTCAGTATGTTCTAAGCATTCTAGACTCATTCAGTGTGATTGAAATGATTCCAAAACGTACTGAATGATTCAAGAACACTTTGAATAATTCCAGAACAGTGTTAGTATAATTGAGATACTATTATAGTTTTTATTAATATTTTTTAATAAATTTTTTTTTTTTTTTTTCTGTTAGTATAATTGAGATACTATTATAGTTTTTATTAATATTTTTTAATACATTTTTTTTTTTTTTTTTCCGTTTTAATTTAAAAAAAAAAAAAGTCTTGTTTTTGTGATTTTTTTCGTTGTTGTTTTTACATGCTAATATAATTTATACATTTTTATTATTAGTTATTTTAGTACATCAAGTTAAACTAAATAAAAATGATTGTTACCTTGGCAGCTAGCTCAAATAAAAATATTTTTTTAGTTAAATTATAATATGTTGTAGGATGCTTTAAATATTTTAGATTGTTCAGTATAAGGTTGCTAACTCCACATTTTTGCATTTCCTGAAGGTGACAGGCTGTTGAGTGTGAATGATGTCAGTCTGGAGAGCCTGTCACATGACACTGTGGTGGAGGTTCTGCAGAATGCCCCTGATGATGTCACACTGGTGGTCTCTCAACCTAAGGAGAGACTGTTTCCAGGTAACGGAAATAATATATTGACTTTGCATGTGGCCGTTTTGTAAGAACTATATAAACAATGCAGTGCTATTTCACCAGAATAGACTTTTTCTGGAGAAATGTGTTAACTAGATGACTATACCATAAACAAGCCTGTGTTTGCCTCTCTTAGACTCTCCTTCAGGAATCCATCACTACAAATCAGCCACACAAAATCAGGAAGTAGACGTCGACTCTTCCTCTGAAGATCATACACGCTCCCCCAGCCCTCCTGCTGCCTCCAGCAAAACATCTCCTCTTCAGTCCATTCGACAGGGGAGCGTCAGCTCGCAGGACTCCAGGACAGAGAGCGCCGGCCTCCTGCAAACAAATCTCAATGGATTCCATCGCAACGTTCCCACCGAGGGTTCTGCACCCGTGCAGTCCATCCCCACTGACAGCAAACCCTCTGTTGAAGCTACACCACCAGCTTTACCCCCTAAAACCAGAAAATCCAAAGTGCCAGACATTCCTAAAGAGCTGGAATACTCCGACAGAGGGGATTCGGACATGGATGAAGACACGTACTCAAGTAGCCAAGAGAAACATAAGACTACAAAGGTAGAATCAGTCTCTGTAGTGGTTTAAATGAACTTTGACTCTCACCTCAGGGTTTTGAGTTTCTAGTCAGCATCTGTTTGATATGAACTTTGAGATGTGTGCTTTTTAATCTTCACAGAAAATATTAAATTGCTTTTTGTTGGAATAATAGGACAGTTCTCCCTTGCTCATTCCATCCCTCCTTGGAGTTCCCCACATGCCATGAGATGCAGAACATAATTTAGGATTTTTTTAAGTGTATTTTACATTTACACTCTGGTCTAACCAGGTGTGATCAGACAGGTTTTAAACAATTAATTCAACATGTTTAGTGCCACTTGCCAAGGAAAACGATGAGGAGAGGTGTTTTATTACATTTCTAAGCAGTTTCCCTTTCTAAATGTCTCATAGACTTGTGTTGAAGGAGGTGCTTAGACCAAGTTTGGAGTCAGTAAAATAGTTTTTTTTTTTAATGTTAATGAAAGAAGTTTCTTATGCTGACTAAGGCAACATTTATTTAATAAAAAAAATGTATTTGGACAGCAAAACAGTAGTATTGTGAAATATTATTACAATTTAAAATAATCGTTTTCTGTTTTAATATATTTTAAAATGTAATTTATTCCTGTGATGCAAAGCTGAATTTTCTGCATCATTACTCCAGTCTTCAGTGTCACATGACCATTCAGAAATCATTCTAATATGCTGATTTGCTGCTCAAGAAACATTTATTATTATTATCAACAGTTGTGCTGCTTAATATTTTTGTGGAAACCGGGATACGTTTTTGTCAGAATTCTTTAAAGGGGTCATATGATGTTGCTAAAAAGAACATTATTTTGTGTATTTGGTGTAATGAAATGTGTTTATGCGGTTTAAGGTTCAAAAAACACATTATTTTCACATTATATGAGTCAGAGCAGCTGGCATTGTAGTCTACTCTCCCAGGATCAGGAAACAGTCCTCCATAAAATGCGCTGCACACATCTGAATATTTGGGTTAAACTGTTCTGGAACAGTGTTGTAAATACAACTTAACCACTGATTTCTAGTCGTGTCCTCTTTTGGAAGGCCAAACAAAGTAGTTTCGCTTTCACAACGAAACAGCGTCACACACCAGCGTCACACACAGAGTCCTAGAGTGAGCGGCGGCCTAGAGTATGCGGAGGCCGGCTTGAGTGAGCAGAGGCGGGCGGGCTTGAGAACGGCGTGGCCGCCGGATTCGACGAAGGAGCGGCAACCACATGTGACGACCCCGGACTAGACTCCGCTTCGTCCACGGTGAAAGCCGATCCGGTTAGTGTCACGGTACTGTTCGGAAAGGTTTCCGCTCTCTCTTTTTTCTCCTTTGACTTACTTTTTGTGTGCGTGTGTTGTTTTTGTGCCCATAGCCCTCACTCCTTTTTGAAGCTCCTCGCTTGGCTTCAGTTTTGGGAAAGTACATATGGCTCTTTGCATGCAGATTTTTACAGGCATTTGAATTGGCTCCTTCACTAACGGTAAAACCGAAACACAGTAGGTAGAGCAAAATGCAGAAACACTCACGACCAAAACAATATGCCACATTTACAGTTGTATTGTGTTCATAACAGAGAAGCACTAATGCCTGCATGGATTTGCATTCGCTTGGCTGTGGTGTGATTTTTTTCAGTGATCTTTTTTAAAATTTATGATCATGTGGTGATATGTAGACCTTGTGATTTTATGATTTAATTTTTTTTTAATTCAGTATTTCAGAATACTGCAATGAAATGCATTAATCATCAACTCAAGAAATCAAGTGGTTTGCTTTGTAAGGATGGGTGTTGCTGATTTTATTAGATGGTTCAATCTAGTTCAATCGTAATCATTTGAAAATGGTTCACTCATAATCTAGAAATTATATAATGAGCATGTCCAATTGATTTCTTAATACTAATAAATAGACTTAATAGACTCAAAACACAGAGCACAGGCATTATTTCCCATGATGCCTTTCTTTATGGGTATGTTAACATGTTTGTCTGTCTCAGGGCGGATCAAACACAACAGTGAGGCATGGAGGGATATACGTCAAAGGTGTCATTCCTAAAGGAGCAGCTGAGCTGGATGGGAGGATAAAGAAAGGTAAAAATAAATTATATGTACAGTTTTGAGTATACATCATTGTTGTACTGAATGTAATTTATGCAGATTTTATTTAAAAAATCAGACAGTTTATACATAAAAAAATATATTTATTTTATTTTATTTTATTTTTACATTTGACAGAAATAATGCCATAATGCATAAATGCATAAAAAAAAAAATTAATGCATAAAAATTAATTAAATAAATAAATAAATCTCTATGGTGCTACAAAATAGGCTATATTTTCTTTTTTTTTTCCAAGAATAATAATGAAATGAAATGAAATATAATTAAAATAATGTCATATAATCTTGTTTTATTTAAGTTTTCACGTTTTTGGCTTTTGACTCTTGCTTTCAGTGTATATTATATAATATATAATTTATATAAAAAAATGCAAGATTAATATCCTACAACCCTAAGTAGGACAAACAGTTTAATTTTAGTAATATAATATAATATAAAATTTGTAGTCAAACGATTAATTGTGATTAATCGTTATATTCAAACGATTAATTGTGATTAATCACATCCCAAATAAAAGTTTTTGTTTACATAATGTGTGTGTACTGTGTATATTTGAAAAAACTTTTATTTTGGATGTGATTAATCGTTTGCCAGCACTAATAATTTATTTTTTTAAATGCGATATTAATATCCAACAACTCTACGTAGGACAAGCAGTTCGGACAGTGGATGGATAGTAATATAATATAGTGTAATATATAAATTACATAATAATAATATAATATTTTTCGTAATTTGGGGGGTAAAATAACTGTATTTTTTCCTTCAACAGATTCCCAATTATAAAATTACAATTCTGTAAGCCTGAGTGTTGATTTTGTCGTGCAGGTGATCGTGTGGTGGCTGTGAATGGGAAGAGTCTTGAAGGAGCGACTCACAAACAGGCTGTAGAGATGCTGAGAGACACTGGACAGGTGAGAACTCTGGGTCTGAGGCTGCACTGCGCCCCCTAGAGGACTGTGCTTCTCTGAAAGCTAACCGTGTTTTTGAAAAATAATTCCCACTGTCTAGGTGGTGCATCTGTTGATGGAGAAAGGTCAGCCCCCAAAAGACAGTATCCATGCCCCTCTGACCCCACAAGGCACTTCTGAACCTCAGAATGCAGCTGCAGAGGAGCCGCCACCACCACCTCCAAAGAAAGCAGAATACAGCTTCATTACTCCAGGTGTGAGATGGAATCGACACACTTGTTGATGAACATATGAAAATGTGCTAGAGGTTAAACATGTGGGCTGGTTTTTGAACTTTGGAAGAGTAAATCGATGTCCTCTTTCTTGTTTACCCCCTCTAGAAAACACATTTGAGGTGGGTTTGCTGAAGAACACGTCCGGTCTGGGCTTCAGTTTCAGCCGTGAGGAGAACGTTCCCGGAGAGCCTGTGGGCTCCAGCATGGTCCGGGTCAAGAAGCTGTTTCCAGGGCAGCCCGCAGCTGAGAGTGGCCGCATCGAAGTGGGCGACGTCATTCTACGTGTCAATCAGACGTCACTCAAACGACTGTCACAACATGTGCGTAAACCCTTTATTTACTACATTCTAAAACAAAATATGTAAATAGCATTATTAAAATGTCTTTTGTTCTTTGGTGTGTTGTCAGGAGGTGATCTCTGCTCTGAGGGGCACAGGACAGGAGGTGACCCTTCACTTGTGTAGACCTGCACCAGGGGTCTTACCTGAGATGGACCCTGCCATTAAAGTAAGCATAATATTCTGCTTGGTTTTCACTCAAGAATATCAGGAAAAGACATAATGCAAATTACAGCTACACATATTCCATGATAAAAGAAGTGCCAGCACAAAAGACAGATTATTTTGAGTCTTGTTTTATTGAGTCTAATTTATTTTGGGTCCCTTTATTTTATTGTGTTTTTTATGTTAATGAGTGTTTTGTTTTATTTAGGGTTAGGGTTTTGTTGTATTTTGAGTCTTATTTTGAGTATTTTATTTTTTATTAAATTGTACTAAATTTGAGTTTTATTATTTATTTTAGTATTTTATTTTATTGAGTATATTGTTTTATTTATTTATTTATTGCATTTTTGTTTATTATTAATATTGGTTTTGATATTGGTTTATTTAGCTTTTTTTATTTTATTTTGAGTCTTACTTTATTTTGTGTATTTCATATTGTCTTATTTTTATTAAACTGAGTTTATTTGTTTGTTTATTTAGTGTTTTTTATTTATTTATTTTAATTAGTATTTAGGGTTATTGTTGTATTTAATTAAAATTTTTATTTTATTTTGAGTATTTCATTTTATTTATTTAGTTTTGAGTTTTTGAGTTTTATCTTTTATCTTGAGTTGTACTGAGTTTAGAGATCTATTTTGTGTCTTTTTCTTTTATTTTGAGTCTTATTTTGTTTTGATGTTTTGTTTTGTTTTATGGAGTTTCATTAAATTACATTTTATTATTATTATTATTATTTATTTATTTATTTTTTAATTAGTATTTAGGGTTAGGGTTTTGTTGTATTTTAATTTTAGTATTTACATTTCATTAAAAAAAATTTTTTTTCATTTTATTAAGTTTTTTTGCTATCTCGGTAGCTCTCCAGTGGTCCACCTCAGTTTTTACATGAACAGCCTACCTGTTTTGGGACATTTCACATCTTTAAAATAAAATCTAAAATTGACCGTCCACAGACTCCCGTACCCTCTCCACGAAAGGAACCCCGTCCCAAGCCCCAGCCTGATGCCAAGACGAGCTCCCCGCCTCAGACGGAGCGCCCTCGTGCGGTGGGTCCTGTGGAAGAGGCTCTGGAGAGGCTGATGGTGAAGTCGCCCAGTCGCAGGGACAGTTACAGCGACAGCACAGACAACGACGAGCTGGAGGAGGCCTTCAGCCCCGCCAACCTGGAGCAGGCCAGTCAAGCCTGGGACCGGAGTGTCTACCAGACCCCCATGGGAAGACTCCCATACGAGGCCGATATAGACGACACCATACGATCGGCTTATTACTCACCCAGACAGTCCATGTCTAGACCGGATGTCAGCAGAAGGTCAGAAATGTGTTCTTTAAGCATACGACAATTTTTTTGTTTTGTTAATATGTGCTTGCATGTAAGATCCTCTAATAACTTGGCTTTGTCAGTGTAAACAAGTCTTTTAGAAGTAAACACTGTTCTTGCATAAGCAGACTTGGTTGTTTCATGTAATTGGGCCCAGGTTACAGAGTTCAGGTGTGACGGCACTAATTCTCTCCTCTGGGAGTGTTTTGCTCAGTCTGTGTCATGTGACTGTGCAGCAGTGAAACACTTGTTTGCACTGCTGAATGCAGTGTGATAGAGATCTGTGGCTTCTTTTGACTGAAGTTTGCTTTGACTTATTTTTTTCTGAGCAGACATGAAAATAATAAATTGACAGAAACGGGTCGATATGTTGTATTAACCTATTAGTCTGTAAGAACTGCTAGTTTCCAGCATTTCCAAGTTTTATTTTTTTTTGTTTCATTTCAATGTCGATCTCAAAGCATTTTATTAATTTTTTTCTTTTGTCTTTAACTTAACATTAGTTTTTTTTTTTATGTTTTGTTTCTTAGTTTCAAGGCCGATCGCATGGAGCACTTAATTTTCTTAATTTTCTTTCATCTTTTTAACTTTTAATTTAATGTCAGTTTTTTATCATTTTTTTTTGTTTCAGTTAGCATTTTGGTTTAAGTCAGCATTAATCTCATAAAGCATTTTTTTTTTTTTTTTTTTCTTTTTTAATTTAATTTTTTTTTTCCCATTTTTTTAATTTTTTTTCATTTTTAATTTAATTTTTTTTTTCACATTTTATTAATTTTTTGTTTTTTTTGTTTTTTAGTTTAAATATCAATGTCAAAGCATTTTATTTCACTTCTTTTATTTCACTTTTTTTCAGTTTTTTTTTGTTTTTTTTTGTTTCATAGTTTCAATTCTGATCTCATAAAGCATTTAATTTCATTTTAATTTAACTTCTTTTTAAGAAGTTAAATTAAAGTTAAATTAAAATTAAAGTTAAATGTTTCTTAGTTCTTTCAGTTTTCTTTTTCGGGTTCTTAGTTTCAATGTCGATCTTATTAAGCATTATATAATTATTTTAATTTTAATATTTTAATTTAATCTCAAATTAAATTACAAGAAAAAATAAAAACAAGAAAAAATGTAATGTTCTTTTAGATGGAGCACCTCACATTTTCTCAATATATGTCACAGAATGCATGTTAATTAATTATGTTCCATTTCCTGTCTGTGTCCTCCAGTGATTTGGACAGCTCTGCAGTTCGTATGTCATCTTCTCCAGCCCTGCCTGAGATTGGGATCCTGAGCCCCAGTCCAGACCCTCTTCCTCCACCACTGCCAAACCCGGTTAACCTCCGTCTACAAGATCATGGCCAGGAGGAAGAGTTCATCCCTGTGAGTGACCGTTTGCTCGACAAAAGCTTGATTTCTGTGTGTTATTTAATCCAAATGATCTTCTTTTGACAATTTCTAGTGGAATATCTTGCGTGTCTTGAAGATCTTCTCTGCTATGATAAAGACAGGAATGTTTGTCGTTTTAGGAGGTGGAGTTGAAGGTTTCTCTGGTGAAGTCTGATAAAGGAAGTTTAGGTTTCACTCTCACCAGAGGGAACGACAACAATTGCTACATCCATGACATTATCCAGGACCCTGCTAAAGGAGACGGCCGACTGCGTCCAGGGGACCGCATGATAATGGTACAGCATCGCCAATGGGTCTTTCCTGTTGCTTTGCAGAACTATTTGAAAACTTGATGTAGCTAGTTAAAGAAAGTCATATTTATTAATTTATTTGTTTATTTATTTATACATACATACATACATAGGAAACAATACATCAACAGAAAAAAAAATGTTTTATGTGGACTATCTCAATTTTCTTTTTAAATTTTCAACTTCTACCAATACATTTTGGGTTGGTAGGATTTTAGGTTTTAGAAAGTAATTCTGTAAAAACAGTAACATTGGGAAATATAATTACAATTGATAACTGTTTTCTAGTTTGAAGAACATTTATTTAAAATAGAAATCTTTTGTAACATAAAAAATCCCTTTACTGTCACTTTTGATCAATTTAATGTATTCATTTATTTCTAAAAAAAAGTATTTAAAAAATTTGAATGATAGTGTATATTTTTTATTTTTTTATTTAATGCTGTTCATAGGCAGGTAGCAGTGTTATTTTAGTATTAGCATTGACATGTTATTATAGTTTTTATTAATATTTTTGAAATAGTTTTTTTTAATATTTTCTTTTTTCATGTTAATTTTAGTTACATTTTTGGTCATTCAGTTAGTAATTTTGTTTTGTTTTGTTTTTTCAAATATGTCTATATAGTTTTTATTTACTTTTTTATTTTCCATCAAGTTAAACTAAATGACAAAAGAAAAAAAAAATCAAAAAAAAAAATAAAACATTTTAATTTAATAATTCAGTATTTAAATTTTTTATTTTTGTTTTTTATTTCAGTTAACATTGATTTTGTTTCAAGTAATGCTATTTTTAAATGGTTTGTAGTTTTAGTTTACTATAATAACCATGGCAGGTAGTATATAAAAGCTTGTGATTTTAGAGAGCATTGTATTGGACAAATATTTTCATACTCACCTGAAAACAAGACTTATCAATACTTTTATTAATCCATTTTCTTGTTGATATGTTTCTTAAGGTTTAATTTTGTAGGCCTTTATCAATACACTACCATATAAAACTAACACGTGGACAAAAAGCTGCAAAACTTCCATTTTAATCGTATTTTACACATTGTAATGCATCTTCACTCATCTACCTCTGTTTATAGGTGAATAACACAGATGTGTCCGGCATGAATCACACCGAGGTGGTCAACCTGGTGCGTGCCGCCCCCAAAGTCGTAGACCTCGTGGTGGGCCGTATCCTCGAACCTCCCAAACCACCAATAGAGGCCCACCTCCTTCCCGACATCACGTTTCAGTGCCACGACGAGTCCTTAGGTAATGGAAACATCAACGTATATGGTAACCGATCCTTTTTACCACTCAATGCCTTCGGTCTTCTCAGAAATACCCAGAATCCTGCTGGGCGAGTGGATTCTGCAGCATTCGACCGATTTGTGTGGTGCATTAGTTTTATCTGACTGTCAGAGGTCAACGGGGCTTTATCGGGTCACACAAAAACACAGATATCCATAAGAATAAACAAAGCCCACCTGCGTTTCACTGGAAAAATGAGCTCATGGGGTTAGACAACACACCAGATAAGGGTGTCAGGTATCAGCCCTCTGACAAAAAAGCAAAAGAAAGAAAAACAGAAGCTGGCGTTAGGGTTAGCGCAGCTAAGTGTTTGTTTTCTGGGCGTCTCTTGCAGGGCTTGTTCTCGATGGAGGAAGTGACAGTGGGTTGGGCGTGCTGTACGTAAAGGACATCATCCCAGGATCTGGAGCCGCTGCGGAAGGCAGCTTGAGACAATTGGATATCATACATTACATCAACGGCGCTCCGACGCAGGATCTGACCTTGATTGAGAGCCGCAGACTCCTGCAGCTGTCACTGAGGAATCTCAGTCTCAAAGCCACCAGGTGAGTTACTCGCTTCACCTTGACGAAAAACACTTCGAAGATCCATCCATATTACTTTCAGGTGTTGGAAAGATACTTATGTGATGATATGTGTAATACTTCTGGACGGATGCCACTATCTAACTCTTATTTCCGTAGGGATGGGAAGCCTGTTTTTCCGGGTGAGGAGCAGATTTCATTACTAAACAATAACGTCAGTCCTAGAGTCTCACAGAGTATGAATGGTGAGTGTATAAACTAGTAGTAACTGCACATTTTTATCGAAATTTAATCACTGTTCTGTAATTTGGGGTCAGTTGGATTTTATTGTTGTCGTGTTTGAAAGAAGTCTCTTACGCTCACCAAGGCTGTATTTATTTGATTAAAAATGCAGTAAAAACAGTAATATTGTGAAATATTATTTCATTTTAAAATAACTGTGTTCTATTTGAATATGTTTTAAAATGTAATTTATTCCTGCAATGCAATGCTGAATTTTCTGCATCATTATTCCAGTAACTCTTCAGTGTCACATGATTTGAAACAGACTTGAGACATTCTTTAGAAACATTTTTATATCATCATCAATATTGAAAACAGTTGTGGAAACCATGATTTTTGTTCAGGATTGTTTAAATAAAAAGTTTAAAAGCTCGCATATATTTAAAATAGAAAACATAAATGTCTTTAATGTCACTTTTGATCTATTTAATGCATCCTTGCTGAATAAAAGTGATAATTTCCTTTAAAAAAAAGTCATAATTACTATGCTCAGATTCCGAGACAAATTGTGAAGACTGATATCAAAACTAAAATAAAAGGCAATAAATTTCAAGCAGTTAAAGACATCATAAATGTAATGTTTCCATTGACTTACACTGATGTAATCTTGGTATAATGGCTGTCAAAAAAAAATTTGAATTTCGAATGTTTGTCGAATTTAAAATAAAAATCCACATTCGAATGCAAAAACGTTGCATTCAAATTTTAGGTGTGCATCAGGCAGCCTTATCAGTGGTGCACGAGATGCGATGACGATGTAAGTGTCATTGCATTTTAATGTTTTTCTTAAAATGCCTATCCAGTTGAACCTACTAGATGCGGTGCTGCTACGTTGTTCATTAAAATATTGCGGGAAAAAAAGCAATACAGCGATGTTGTTTACGTCAAAACCAAAATCAAACCGTTCACACAGAACACATATTTATCACATTTTGTAGAGGGACATCTATCACTGTTACATTCGTGTCTCGCACAAGAGAGCCGCATGTTTAGAAAGACATGTAAAATTAATGTAAGTTCAACTTTTTAAAAACATATCTCGAGACTTTACGGCAGTTTTTCCCCATCCTACTGCATCTCAAGTTTTTAAATGAAGAAAGTACTCTGTGATTGGTCCTTTGTATTAAACTATACATACATGCATGATTCTGTTTTGTTTCTAATTGTTTAAGCAACTTTAATTATATAAGGTTTATAAACATTATTTTAAACATTTTGCACTTTTTTCAAAGATAGTCGTGTTATTTTATTATGCTTTGAAGAAACGTGCATAATATTTTGCTTGATGCGCCCTCTTGTGGCCTCAGGAGAGAAGCCAAAAGCTTTTCTTCATCCTAACTGAAATTATGCCTTTTAAATTTGAATATAATTGAAATATTGATAATATTTAAGTACAAAATTCGAATTTAGTTTTTCAGCCATTTTTGACAGCCCTAGTATGTTGTAACCATCAGTGAAGATGTCATCATAATATTTGCCTGCTGAATTCTGATTTGCTTTCTTGCTTGCATATTTGCATACTGAATTCTCATTGGTCATTTACAGTTTAAAACAGGAAATGCTAAGCTAGTTGTTATATTATATTATATTATATTAGCTATATAGCTAATGTCACCCCTTAACTATGGTAAAATCACTGTAAGGTGTGATCCAGTGCATATTGCTTTAATTAATGGTATCAGTTGTTTACTTTTCTTGTGATTTGATGGCATTCTGATGCTCTGGTTAGCAGCGATGTTACTCTTCTGGCTGTAAGCTGAGTAAAATACACAGTGGCCTCATTTCTCTCTTTGTATCATAGGTTATCTCCATGGCAACGATCGTAATGAATTGGAGGCCCTCTCCGGTATCTGTCCCGCTGAGGTAAGGACCTGTAGAACTTCTGGTAAACTATTACCTAATATTGATCGGTGCTGCTCTGGCTAAATATTTTATCACTAAATACACCGACTTCAGAAACAGAAACTTCTCAGGCTTGATATCATCGTATGGGTGCTGCTGTTCTGTGGCGTGTGAGACGGGACACAAAGGTTACTATGCTCTATACTGAAATTTAAACTGAGGCAGGTTTCTGCACACAGACAGGTCAGATTTCTGCAGTCTGTTAGTTACAAGAGGAACGGGTGAGAGGAATTTGAGTCGATTTTTAGGAAACACCGCAGCAGGCGGCACACGTTGAGGCTTCTTCTGTCTTTGAATTGATTGTAATTGCTAATGGGATTTCATTGTCAACTTAACACCAATTTTTCCTCATCTCATTTACATTCTGCGTTCTTTATTTCACTCTTTTCTGGTCTAATGTGTTTACAGGAGCAGATTGTGAAGCTGCAGTTGGAGAAGCCGCCAGCAGGAGGCCTGGGCTTTTCTGTGATTGGTGGAGAGAGGGGTATTTTTGTGAAGTCCATCACCCCTGGAGGCACCGCAGACACCGCGGGCACATTGCAAGTTGGCGATCGTTTACTGAAGGTCAGTAACCAGTGTTTTTTGGAAAAATGCAATATGTTGTTGTTTAAGTTCTGAAAGCTAATTCTGTGGTTGCGTTTATGTGCAGGTGAATGAGGATCTGATGATCGGTGTGTCTCACTCTAAAGCCGTCACCACCATCCGTAAAGCTAAAGGCTTGGTGCACCTCATCGTCTCCCGTCCTCCTGACCAAATGCCCAACACGTACCTGGGCTTTCTGCCTCTCAAATCCAACGGTGTGAATGGCGACAATGGTACGGCCAACAATCTCATGTTAATTCATATTTATATTGTATATGTAAAAAATAAAAAAATATAAATATACATTTTAAAAATAGTATATAAAAATTTAAATTTTAAAAAGTATTTTAGTAGATATAAAAAATATATCTACTAAATATATGTATATTTTAAATCAAAATATTATTTAAATAATTTTCAGTATTAAATTATTTATTTAATTATATAAATATTTTTATTTTTATTTAACAAAAATAGAGTTCTTTAAATTATAAATAAAAAACATAACATTTATTTTAAACAATTGTTATAATTTGTGTCAAAACGTATAATATAATACTATTTTTTGTATTTTTATTGCATAAAAAAAAAAAGAATAATATTTTACAAAAATAATTTACAAAAAAGTCTTACAAAAATCTGTTTCAGATGTGAGTGAGGACAGCGGTGTGAAGACAAAAATCCAGACGCCATCAGAGCAAAGCAAGACCAACCCACCTCCCCTCCCTCCAATAGGTACAGTAAAGATCACATGACCAGCCTGATTTTAGTATCATTGAGATACTATTATAGTTTTTATTAAAATGTTTAATTAGTTTAGTTTAGTTCAATTCTATCATGTATTAATAAAATATTATTATTATTATTATTCTTTATAATTGTAATATTTTGGTGCATTACATTTTTAACATAATACATTTATTCAACATTAATAAAATACAAAAATAAAAACATTTAATGCATTTTATTTTAAGAAAATATATTGCATGTATATATTTTCCATTTTAGTAATGAATGTGTGTTATCAATTTTGTTTTCATTTGTATTCCTTTTTTATTTCTGTTTCTATTAATTGTAGTTTTTTTTTTTTTTAATTTAGTAAATATTTTTAAGTATATTTTATTTAAGTTATTTTAGTTTTTTGTGTGTATTTTTAGTAAGTATATTTTAGTAATTTCACTTAATGTTTATTTTATTTCAAGTAAAGTAAAATGTTTTTGGTAGCACTTTATTTTATAGTTCTGTTCCGTGTGTATATATCATATACTTATTGTATCAGTTACAATAACTGGGTAATAACCAGGTACTACCCCTGAACCTACCTCTAAACCTAACCTTAACCCCTGTAGTTACCTTATACTGCCAGTTGCTTCTTGGTTAAGTACACTGTAAGTACACATACTGTAAAATAAAGTGTAACCATGTTTGTTTTTATGGTTTTTGTTACCTATAATAACCCCACATGACACATCATTCTGGCAGATGTCTTATCTGAATGTCACCTGCAGATGTGAAAGTGGAGTATTTACATGATCATGACTGTGTGTGTTTGTGTTCTAGACTATGACACTGGCTCTCTAGAGAAAGGGAAGGGAACAGAAGGAAGTGGTGACCTATCAGAGGACACAGACTGTGACGGCTCGTCTCTGCCGGAAGACTCCCCAGAGGTACAGCCATCTGTAATCAAACTTTGAATATCGGCAGTTTTACAGCAGACAAACTGATCTGATAACAATGGACTTTGAGGTGATTGTATTGACTTGTAAAACAATGCATCTGCTTTTATGAACTATATGCTATGTTCTTCTGTCTTCAGACGTCTCGGAAGGCTGAGTGGAAGGAAGAAAATATTGATGTTCCACTGAATGACAGGTGAGGAAAACAGTTCTGCAATTTTCAAGTAATTTCACATCTGCAGCTTGCATGTTTTTGTTCAGCTTATATTTTAAACTTCAGTTCATATTCCTATTTATCAACATGAAAGTCAACGAGGGTTAAATCTAGCAGGTTTGTTCTGATCAGATCTCCCTCTCTTCTTAGTGCCCTGCGGTCATCGTCGGGTCAGCCGGATGAGGATGAGATCACATGGGGGAGTGATGAGCTGCCGATAGAGAACATCAACTCTAAATTTACTGAAGGTCAGTCTGCTGTTGAAACCACTCTGTTTCTCATAGAGAAATGGACCGTTTTCTGATTGTACTTCATTACGAATGGGTTGTGAAGCCCAGATCTTATTCATTGAATTGGTTTGTCTCATTGTAAATGTTATGCATGTTATTTTGTCTCTCTGTTTCTCAGATGGACCCATTGTCACTGAAGAAGAGTTGACGTCTCTGCCGCTGGTTAAAGTGGTTCCTGACGGTCATTATACATCCGCTAACCTCAACACTATAGTCCTTATGATGAGAGGCCTGCTGGAACAGAAAGTTCCTCTGCAAGAGTTTGAGGTACAGAAAATGTTTCATTGTACTATATATGTATTGCTAAAGTCTATTCTTTGATCTTAGAACATTTTCTTCGGTCACAAGAAATGATAAAACCCCCTTAAATTACTTCATGCATATTTGAACATTTTTATGTGCACGTTTAATACTACATACATTTATTTTTTAAATTAATACTTCTTTTAACAAAGATGCATTACATTGATCAGAAGTGACAGTAAAGACATTTATAATGTTACAAAAGATTCCCATTTCAAATGTTGTTCTTTTGAACTTTCTATTCATCAAAGAGTTCTGAAAAAAGTATTTTCATAATATTAAGTAGCACAACTGTTTTCAACTTTGAGAAGAATAAGACATGTTTCTTGAGCAGCAGATCAGCATATTAGAATGATTTCTGAAGGATCATGTGACACTGAAGACTGGAGTAATGATGCTGAAAATTCAGCTTTGCATCACAGGAATAAATTACATTTAAAACAAATATTACAATAGAAAATTGTTATTTTAAATTATTATAATATTTCACAATATCGCTGTTTTTACTGTATTTTTGATCAAATAAATGCAGCCTTGATGAGCATTAGAGACTTATTTCAAGAACATTTAAATAATATTGCTGATCCCAAACTTTATTTTATTTTATTTTACTGGCATGAATATAGCCTTTGATGCTAATATGGATATAAAAAATAAATTTTAATATGCATATTGTTTTCTTTCAAAGAACCTGCAGAATTTGCGCCCCTTGGATGAATGTCTGATTGGTCAAACCAAAGAGAACAAGAAGAAAAACCGATACAAGAACATTGTTCCATGTGAGTTAGGAAAAACATTGATGTATAAACAATGCATGTTTCTCTGACCTTTTTATTTATTAATTTCCATAATTGATTTCAGCTATTTTCCTGTTGATCTCTGTGAAGCTGCCTTGACGATCTGTATTATATAAAGTGCTACAGAAATAAAGGTGACTTGACTGTTAATTCTCTGTCGTGATTCAGTCGACACAACCAGGGTCATGCTGGGGAAGGATGGTGGCTACATCAATGCCAACTTCATCAAGATGCCTGTGAAAGATGAGAACTTCCTGTACATCGCGTGTCAGGGGCCACTGCCCACCACGCTGGGGGACTTCTGGCAGATGGTTTGGGAGCAGAAGTCCAACGTGATTGCCATGATGACACAGGAAGTGGAGGGGGGGAAGGTGAAATGTCAGAGGTACTGGCCCGACACACCTCGCTCGCCCGCGATGGTGGACGACCGGCTGCAGATCACACTGGTCAAAGATCAGCACCTGGACAACTTCGTCATCCGCCTCATAGAGGTCAAAGACATCCAGGTGAGAGGCACTTTGTGTATATATTAATATCTTTATCAATACACTTACACTTATATGCATAGATGTTTAAATCTGCATGTATATCTTTCTCTTGCAGACTAATGAGATCCAGAGAGTCACTCATCTGAACTACACAGGCTGGCCTGATCATGGAACCCCAACTCAACCAGAACAGCTCCTGACATTCATTTCCTACATGAGACACATCCACCAATCAGGGCCCATCATCACCCACTGCAGTGCAGGGATTGGCCGATCAGGGACGCTGATCTGCATAGATGTGGTTCTTGGCCTCATCAGCAAAGATGCAGATGTAAGTGTCATATATATGGTTTATTCTTTGAACAGTTAACTTGAATTTTATATTTGTAATGTTTTGTGCAAAGATGCAGATGGAAGTGTCATATATAAGATTATTCTTTGAACAGTTAAGTTGAATTTTATATTTGTAATGTACAAAACATTACAAATATAAAATTCAACTTAACTGTTCAAAGAATAAACTTATATATGACACTTACATCTAGGCATGGGCCCGTATGAGATTTTGACAGTATGATAACCTTAAGCAAAAATATCACGGTTTCACGGTATCACGGTATTGTCGTTACAGCTCTAAAATGTGTTATTTTTAAATGAATAAAAAAAAAACTGAACACAATTTGTGAGCATACAATTTATATATGTGTGTGTGACTTTTTCTTTTTATTATATATTTTTAGTTTTTATTAGGCATGGGCCGGTATGAGATTTTGACTGTATGATAACCTTAAGCAAAAATATCACGGTTTCACGGTATCACGGTATTGTCGTTACAGCTCTAATATGTGTTATTTTTAAATGACTGGGGGGAAAAAAACAAAAATTTTCCACTGAACACAATATATTTTATATACACAGAATACTATGAACAGTATAATTTGTTTATTTTTTCTTTGATTTGTTTCCTAAAAAGGAAATAAAGACTGACATCTTTAACCTAAATCTGTAATTACAGTTATTTAATTTTGGTTATATAATTCATATAACATATAATTTCATATCATTTAGTTATATAATTTCATATACATAATTTGATTTAATAATAACCCAATTTGAAGCAAAAACAGAATGTTCTGGCTAGCTTTGTGAAATTATACTACATGCCTGAACGGAAAAAAAACAGCAGGTGCTCTGAATGAGACGCAGATTCACTCTCTGACAGCAGGAGGCGCTTCTGGAACACCAGATATGGCGTTTCCTTGGTTACCACTGTAAACAAAGCAACACTAAACACTGCATGATATAATGAATGTTATACAACAGTTCTTTCTGGTTCTCAAATCTGATTTTATTTGAGAACCGTAAGATATTGTACTGGTATCGCTACAGGAACGCCCTTTCACAATTTTGTATCACTCCGCTTGTTCTAGCCGGGTCTATGTTTTTATTTAATTATTCACTGAGCTAATCGTAGAGTACGTTAGTTAATATAAGAAGAAACGTCTAGCTTCGGTGACGTATGTTTAACTGTCAACTTGAGCTTTGAATCCGTGGCGGAAGGAAGTAGTTCCGCACAAAAGAGGGTTTTATTAGGCACGCCGTTGTTTCTTGTTTAATTACACACGTTCCATCGAACTGTTGTAAAAACGCAATATCACTCGAGTACTCGAGCGATACCGGCTCTATATCAGCGGCTGTGATTGCCTCGTGCCTCTGGCCTAATCACAGCCATGCTGATATAGAGCTGGTATCGCGCTCGTACCCGAGTGATATTGCTCATGTATAAATAATAATTGAAGTTAAATGGCAAAAGTACATGAAATGGATGAAAATGCTTAAAGCACCTTTAAGCACAATAATCTAATGATAAACAAATTATATAACACATACATTATTAGCTAATGCGATTATGACTATTACATATAACTTCCATATGTTCTCCTCTTTTCCTCTCGTTAGTTTGACATATCAGATGTGGTGCGTACCATGAGACTCCAGAGGCAGGGCATGGTGCAGACAGAGGTAACCGCTTCATAATGAATGATGCCTTTAAATAAAGTTTAATTCTGCTGTCTTTTTGTGTGTAACGTTTGCTGTTTTTCCTCTCCAGGAACAATACATTTTCTGCTACCGGGTCATCTTGTATGTGCTCAGATGTCTGCAGGCGGAAGAGCAACTCTCGGGATAAAGCGTGGAGCCCACTGTCTTCCTGCTCTCCTGACAGGCTCGAGAGATCAGCTGAAATACCAGCGGCTCCAGTCATCACCGTGTTCAGAAGCAGTTTCTTTATATTCCTATCAGGGGCTTTGACCTCGTCAGAACACATTTGTCTTAAGATGTTTTGGACGTCAGTGACGTGTACAATCCTTGCAGAATTTTGTCTATTCTTATGGCTTACATTCTTGACCATTGGCTGCTACTTCTTTAAAACCATTTCTTTTATAATTTATCATTTTTTGTTAAAAAAACCCAGTTTTTATAGATTCCTTAAAGATTACGGATCAAATAAATAAGAAATGAATTCATATTTTTTTGTGGTACAAAATTCTTCTTGTGCATTTTAAATGAAATGATGCTGGAAATGTTGCCTTGACAGAATACGAGACAGTATTTGCTTTGTAAATCTTTTAGAAATCGGTGCCAGTGGTAATCGGCGAAATTTAAAGTGTTATATTAAGTGTGATATTTATCTCATGAAATCTGTTGATATGTTTTAAAGCTGTTACATACTGGACAATTTGCAATTTGTAAATAAAAGAATATCATGCCTTTATGGTTTTCCCTAATCATTGTGTTTTTGACATTTCTGTTAGTGTGAAAAAAAAATTAAGTGCCAGTTAATTGAGTTATTTGGATGCATTCGGGTTTCCTAGGTTTAACAGACATTGTCTATTAACTTCTCCCAGTTACAAAAAAAGTGTCTTTTTTTTTTTTTTTTTTTTTACATATTGGGACTATTAAGCATCAGCATGTATAGTTGTATCAATTGTTATGATTAGGGTACAGTTGATTGTATTTTCCCCTTCCATTTGTTTTCCTCAGAAACATATAATATACTAGTTATCTAAATCAGAGGCTGCAGAAACTCATAACTAATCCAACCAGCGGCAAAACAACAGACAACATGTGACCCTGGACCAATTTTGTGAAAATGAGAGCTATATATTATCTGAAAGCTGAATAAATAAGCTTTCCATTGATGTATGGTTTGTTAGGATATGATATTTGGCCGAGATACAACTATTTGAAAACATGGAATCTGAGGGTGCAAAAAAATCAAAATATTGAGAAAATCGCCTTTAAAGTTGTCCAAATGAAGTTTTTAGCAATGCATATTACTAATCAAAAATTAAGATATTTATGGTAGGAAATTTACAAAATATCTTCATGGAACATGATCTTTACTTAATATCCTAATGATGTTTGGCATAAAAGAAAAATCGATAATTTTGACCCATACAAAGTTTTTTTGGCTATTGCTACAAATATACCCCAGCGACTTAAGAATAAAAGTTACTCCTTCTTTCTTTGCGTGAACATTTGGGCGGTGTTATGCAAATCTTCCCACACAGTGACGTAGACATGTGGGGGCGTGTTAGAACGAGGCGTTTTAAGTAGGTGTGGCTGACTCTTAACTTTTATAAAGAATATCTCTTTGGATTTGAGACTTTAGTCTTTGCAACTTTACAGATCTTCTTTATGCACCAAGAGCTTGTAACACTCCAAAGAGAAAGGAAAATTTGAAATCGCATCAAATGACCCCTTTAAGATCCTAATGATTTTTTGGCATAAAAGAAAAATAGAATCATTTTGACCCATACAATGTATTTTTGGCTATTGCTACAAATACACCCGTGCGACTTGTGACTGGTTTTGTGGTCCAGTGTCACGTATATATTTTTCAGTTGGACTAATATAGTTTAACAAAAAAATGTTTTAACCTAACCCAAAAATATGCAGAATGTAAAATGGGGCTCCTGCGGTACCTCCAATGTCCACAGGGGGCCGCTGAAAACCGCTGATCTAAATGGTATAAACGAACCTTTTCGAATCTTTGAATCAAATGATTCACCAAATGATTCACTGTTTCGAAGCGCTCGAAACATCACACGCTGGTGACGCCTGCTGGTCAAAACGTAAATCCGCTGATTCAAATCAAATGATTCGCATAGGTTTCGAAGCCTCACCAAGTACTGCTTCGAACGCACACACACCACTAGTAGCGACGCTTCTGAAAACCGGAATGTCATTTCAGGCTTTCCGTAGTTTGCTGGCAACATGGCGACCTCCTTATGAGCCACGCTGGTGCTGGAATAATCAAGTTACTAAAAATCAACGTTATTTTTTGACGCTTAGTATAAGAAGATAATCAAAAATGTCGGGACGTCACAATAACAAATTACCGACGAACCTCCCACAGTTGCAAAATTTGATCAAGAGGGATCCGAAGTCTTACACGGAGGAGGTAAATAACTTGCTACTGAATTTGTCATCTACCCTGATCGCTATTAAATCAAAGACTTTGAATGACATTACGCTATGTTCATGTATTTATTAAACTCACCCTAACGTAATTAGAACTTTTTTTTTTTGCCAGTAAGTAATCCAATAGTGCTTGTTAATTCTACGGAATAAATGTCTTCGCTTTGCTCCATATGAATCTAAATTATCTTAATTTGTTGTTATTCAAAGTTTTTGCAACAGTATCGTCACTATCAGTCAAATGTGGAGATCTTTAAACATCAGCCTGACAAATCCAACAAAGACCTGGCAGAGCTGGTCATGTTTCTGGCTCAGGTATGAAGGTGCTTTCTCTTAAAATCCATGTACGTTATGTATTCGACGTCTTATGATTAAACTCTTGTTGTGTTACCGGCTAAATGTGATTTTTGTCTTCAGGTTGGACACTGTTACTTGGAGGAGCTGTCAGATTTCCCACAGCAGCTGACTGATCTGCTCTTAAACCATCATACGGTGCTGGAGCCAGATCTCAGAATGGTGTGAATAAGATTTGTTTAGATGACATATTCATGCTAATTTACATACAATAAACGTAGTCTAGACTCAAGAGAGTCTGTCTTTCAGGGTAGGAGTTGGTTTTAACTTTGAAAGATCTGTTTTCTAAATAAAAACTTTCTTTCAGACTTTTTGTAAAGCTCTCATTCTCTTGAGGAACAAAGATCTGATCAGTCCCACCAGTCTTCTGGGGCTCTTCTTTGAGCTGCTGCGCTGTCATGACAAACTTTTGCGGAAGGTCTGTGAATTCTGCAGTGCAATTCTGTTTTCAGAATATGACTTATTGCAAAGAATGCTGATGAGAAAATGTCCTCTCTCTCTCTCTCTCCTCAGACTTTATATACCCATATTGTGACCGATATCAAAAATATCAATGCCAAGCACAAAAACAACAAACTGAACACGGTAAGTCACTTGTACTTGGGCATGATATTCAGTTTCCATCAAGTCACATAATTGAAGGCCTGCAGCTTTTCATAATTTGCCCTTCAAATTGTGATTAATCACTTATTTCTCATTCAGATTTTGGGCTGAAATGTTCTTGACAAGTTGCACGACATTCACTTTTGTAGTTATGACATGAATACTCTTCTGTGCTCAGACCTTACAGAACTTCATGTACACCATGCTGAGGGATTCGAACCCCACTGCTGCCAAGATCTCTCTGGATGTGATGGTTGAGCTTTACAAAAGGAACATCTGGTGAGTCCTTGAACAGATACGTCTTTGTAATGCAATGTGATGCCATTTAGCATGATCTACAGTCATTACTGTTTTCCATTCCCACATCGACTGATCAGGAATGACAGCAAAACCGTGAACGTCATCACCACAGCGTGTTTCTGCAAAGTCACAAAGGTTGGATTTCTTGTCATTCCTTTGTAATGATTAAGTAGGAATCTCAGAATTGAAACATTAGTGTCTGCTTATATTAGTTAGTGACAATTTATTTATTAATTATACTTTTCGAGGGCTAATGAACTCAAATCTAATCTCCTCTCAGATCCTTGTCGCTGGATTGAAGTTCTTCCTGGGAAAAGATGAGGATGAAAAGAAAGACAGCGATTCAGAGTCTGAGGTACGATTAGTATTTCTTTTTTTAAGAAACTAATACTTTTATTCAGCAAGGACACATTAAATTGATCAGAAGTAAGAGTAAATGCATTTATAATCTTATAAAATGTTTCTGTTTCAAATAAATGCTATTCTTTTGAACTTTCTATTCATCAAAGCATCTTTATTTAAGTGATTTTTTTTCACCCCCTCTGCAGGATGATGGGCCAACAGCCAGAGATCTAATGATTCGATATTCCACTGGAAATAAATCTTCCAAAAACAAGAAGAAACTGGAGAAAGCCATGAAAGTTCTCAAGGTTGAATCGAGTGTTTTTCATAATCAGCAAATCAGTGTTTTGTTTGGTTAATTTCTGTTATTTTAGTGTAATTTATATACTATTTTAGTTTTACATGAAGTTAAACTAAATGAAAATGAAAAATGGCTGCTATACGAACTGGGTGATTTCATGTTATTTTTACATTTTATTTATATTAAAGTGCAGTCCCTTTGATGGTTTTTTTAAAATTCACTTTAATAACCATTGTTAATTCCACTGCTTAACGTGCAATTTTCAATGTCGTTTTCTCAGAAACATAAAAAGAAGAAAAAAGTGGAAGTTTTTAATTTCTCCGCCATCCACTTGATCCATGATCCACAAGGTAAGACTGCCATTTCACTGACTGAATACAAAAAAAAAATTGTGTAATAAGGCTGATGTAATGTAGAGGTTAAATATCTGGTAATTAAAAGGTTGCAGGTTCAGACCCACCAGGGTTGATCAATTAACCGTCGCTGTGAATCGCTTTCTGTAAAAGCATCTAGATTAGTAATTAATATCTGTGTTGTTCAGATTTTGCAGAGAAGCTCCTGAAGCAGCTGGAGAGTTCAAATGAACGTTTTGAGGTGAAGATCATGATGATGGAGCTCATCTCTAGACTTGTGGGAATTCATGAGGTAATTTATAAGTGAACATTTTAAAGGGGTCATATGATGCGATTTCAAGTTTTCCTTTCTCTTTGGAGTGTTACAAGCTGATTGTGCATAGATTAGATCCTTGAAGTTGCAAAGACTAAAATCTCAAAACCAAAGAGATATTCTTTATCAAAGTTAAGACTCTGCCAGCGCGCGCGCGTGCGTGTGTGTGTGTGTGAGAGAGAGACAGCGTCACATCGCAGTAGAGTCAGCTGTCTTAACCGCGGCTTGTGTACTGCATCATTACTGTGTCTGACACGCGACTCTGTTTCCCTTTCGGGCTTGAACTGATGGTAAACCTAATGACATTATTTACATTTATTTTGAAAGATGAAGCTCGCGATTATGGTAAGGGGCGTTACATTTCCGACGAGTGCTTGCGGTGTTCGGCCAATCACAATGCACTGGGTCAGCTGGCCAATCAGAGCAGACTGCGCTTGTCGGAAGGAGGGACTTTGTAGAAAACAAAGCGTTTGAGAGAGGCGGGGCATATAGGACCTACAATAATGTACAGTATTTGAAAAATAATGTGTTTTTTGAACATTAAAGCATGTCAACATATTCTGTTACACCAAATACACCAAATAATTCAACTTGCACATTTTAAAATGTATTATTTTCCCATTAGTTACTTTATCTAACCTGTTTTGTTTCTGTCTTCACAGCTTTTCCTCTTTCATTTCTATCCGTTTGTCCAGCGGTTCCTTCAGCCTCACCAGAGAGGTAAACACTGT